ACATGTTAAAGTAGTTCAAATGGGTTTATTTCATAACAGTGGTAGATTCCTCTAAAATGATGAGGCATAAATACTATTACATTACTATAATATGACTTGATACCACCAGATTAATTAGGATTGACTACATCAAAATACTCTGTGGTGCCCTTGGCCAGTGTGGCTCAGTTGGTTGGAGCATCACCCCATACACTGAAGGGTCTCAGGTTCACTTACCAGTCAGGGCACATACCTGGGCTGCCTACAAGAGGCAACCAATCAGTGTCTCTCTCTCTCTCTCTTCCTTACTTTTCTCCTCCCCCCCCCCCTTTTTCTCTTTCTAAAAACAAAGAAAAAATGTTCTCGGATGAGGATAAAAAAAAAATACTCAGTGATGTCTGTGAACCTTTCCGCTGCCATGTAGATCTTAACCTATCAGAAAGAAGAAAGGTAAAACCGGGCAGGTTATTACCCAGCAGCCATTTTAACAGCTGAATAAATGTAGGTGGGTGGGTGGTAGCAATGTGTAATCTGGACGCTTGCACTTGGTAGACAGACTGTACCCAGGCGTGCCTATTACAATTGCAGCTACCTGCAGAGAGTGAGTGAATCAGTCTGTCTGACAATGGCACTAACTCTGTAAGTCTCCCCATCTCCCCCCACATCCTGTGCTCCCACCCCACTCCCAACCCCCAGGCGAGGTACTGCCTGGCCTATCCAGCCTGACTGAGAGCTGGACAGTGTAGTTCCTTCCATGAGTCAGTCGGGGCAAGATATCAAGCGGAATCTTGCTAACAAACTAGATGGAAAGAAAGTCAAAAGAATAAAAACGATGGAGTTAAGTGAGCATCAATGCAAGTGGCTTCAACCCCCGTCTGTGATGAGATTTTTAGCATTCCATGGTTGAACTCTAATAGCCAGGGCTTGCCTATATTGGATGAAAACCAGCGAATAACTAGATGAGTAATTTCCATTCTTCTGGTTCTCAGTCTGCCTTCTGCAAACACAAGGTGCAGTTCATATCAGGAAAAATCTAAGGTGTTCGCCCTAAGTCTTTTTAGGTAAAATATGCAGTTTTCAAGACTATGAATCTGACCAGCCCCTTCTGAAGTGCTACAATTTGTCAACCTCTACACTGTGACCAGTAATTTCCAGGTCTAGCCAGACTTATGGAAGGTAGTATAATGAAACTAGTTCCTCTCATTCTTACACACTTTCTGTCCACAGAGCCTGAGTTTCATTAGCAATCATGTTTCATGATTGCTTGTATTTAGCATAATTACAGCCAAGGAAAATGTCAAAGATGTTTTCTGTGAAAGATAAAAAGCAGCCACTGACATCCAGAAACTGGCCTGGTGGTACTAGCAGGTCAAAATTTGATAGATAAACCCAACACCCTGCCAGATCTCCTTTCTAACAATGTTCTCCGATATAAAAAACCCAGGGACCTTGGAGAAATGGCTGGTTCTAGAGATGGGGCAGAAATACACAAGATGTGTCTAGAGCATCGAATAGAGCTCCCAATGGCTGAAGCTGGAATAATTTGAGCAACAAAATAAATAAGTAACATCAGATTATAACCCAAAATATAAATAAATATCCATAAGCCCATATCTACATATAAATGATGAAAGAGAAGGAAGGGAGGGAGGGAGGGGAGACAAATATTCCCACCTCAAGGAGGTAGAACAGAACTCCATCCCCTTAAGTGTGGGTTATGCTTAGTGACTTACTTCCAAAGAGTACAATATGAAAAAGACAGTAAAATAACTTTACAGCAAAGAAACCTGTCAAACATTGCATTAGCCAAGATAACATCATCACTGGTAAGTGATGTTGATAGCATGTACCTTTGATATAAAACATTGAGAAAAGTTCTTTACCTCTATAGTTTTCATCAGAAAAAAAAACACCCCAAAACCTATAACCCTAATCTAATCATGAGAAAAGCATCAGGCAAATGTCAAAATCATCAAATACAGGATCTGGCACAAATAATGCCCCTTTTTTTATTACAAACGCTTTTATTACAAAATCACAACCATGTAATTCTGTAACATAATATCACAGTCAAGCACACCATACGACATTTCAGGTGAAACGTTCAAATTAAAACTATAAATTATTACACCCATATTGTTATCCTCCAACCACACTCAAGTAACATCACTTCTGCGAAATCCTGTGTATATCTTCTCAGAGCCTAAGGAGACATGGCAGCTGAATGCAGTTGTAGTGTCCTGGATGGGACCCTAAAAGGATTTCACATCCTTCTTCTAAGAGCTAGTGAAATCCAAATAAAATATGAAATTTAGTGCATAATGTAATAGTATCGGTTCATTAGTTATGACAAATGTACCATACTAATGTAAGATGGTAATGGGAAAAAAATGGGTGAGGGGTATAGAAGAACGGTGCTATCCTTGTAACTTTTCCGAAAAACTGAAACTATCCCCAAATAACAAGTTCAAAGTAAAACAAAAATTCTACAGGAAGAACAAAGGAGCTTTAGGTATAGACGTTCAATTATTGTCCACTTTATCACCCTATAGAGAAATATTTGGGGAGCAATATTAGCTGTTGGGCTGCCTGTCTCTTCTCCTCCGCCTTGAGCTCTCTGGGAGATGACTGGCTGTAAGTTAGGCTATAGGAGCTCAGTACACACCCCGAACTGTGAAAGTGATTGCGTGCTTACCATAACATCACGGCCTGAGTTGGTGGCGTTTTTCGTTTGGTTTGGTTCTGAATGATCTGACTGATCTCACCAAATGATTTTGAATAGGGCAAAAGAACACACTTTTTCCCCACTCAACTCCATTTTGACCATCATTTCTCTTTTTTTAAACTTATATTTTGATATTGTAAAACTGCTTTTGAATGAGTTATATTTCCTACTGTGCCTTTGTCCTATCGCAATGATAGCTCTGTGAGTCAATTGTTCAGCAGTATATCTCCAAGCTCAATTAATTTTTGTTAAATGAATGCTGAAAAAATAAATTTTTCTATATACAAATGACATGATTTGGGGCAAAAATTGGGGGGAATTTTAATAAAACATGATATGTAAAAAGCTTAAGTTGAACTGCTCTAAAACCAGAATGCCCTTTTTGGCAAATGTCCTTTTTAATATTTTTAATAATCCAATGTAGCATGTAAATTCAATTAATAGAAAGGAAACTATTTGTAATTAACCTATTTTAGAAGGCTAACAGTTATATTGATTAACACTAAAAAGTTCATCTTTAATGCAACGAAATTTTTATGACAACTATGATTGATGACAACTGGTTGGACAATTTTTTAGGCTAAAGTTTCTTTTATTTTTCAATTTTTTATTTATTGATTTTAGAGAGAGAAACGAAAGAAGTACAGAGAGAGAGGGAGACATCAATTTGTTTTTCCACTTATTCATGGCTTCGTTGGTGCTTTCTGTATGTGCCCTGACTAGAGATCGAACCTGCAACCTTGGTGCATCAGGATGATGCTCTAACCAACTAAGCTACCCGGCCAGGGCTAGCTTTTAGACTTTATGGCACTGAGGTTTTGAGCTTCAATCATGTGTCCATGGGTTGTAAACAACTGTTTTCTAAGGAAAATCATGACCTGTGCCTCTGCCTCCAGAAAATGAATTAGGCATCTTCTGTGGCATCTGTCTGGGCATTTTATAAGAGAACATAAGCCCTACCCTCCAACCAGTTGATTTTCTAAGCTTAGGGATCCACCTTTCATTAGCAAGATAAAATATTTTTGGTTTAGGAATTCATTAAACTTGTAACCTCATATTCTCTGCATTTATTATATAAAACTTAGTTGTATGAAATAATATTTGTAAAAGATAGCCAAAAGCTTTTTGCAGTCCATTAATTCTTTAATATTAGTCATTCTTAACCTGGGGTTCATGGGCAAACACCCCTCCCCTGCTAAAATTATACACAAAATGATGAGTGTGTGTATCCACAATGCCTAGTAATGGGTCTATAGCTTTATGAGATCTTCAAAGTGGTCCATGACTCAAAGAATGTCAGTCCCCCTCACTTAATTCAAAGTTTATTCTTGGGTCAAGTCAAACCATCAGACAGCTGTGTACTTGTTCAGTATTGTTTTTTCTTAGCAGCACTGTGAATCTTGAAACTGCTCATGCATCCTTCTTCACTTAGAGAAGTAGAGAACTCAGACCAAATTTACAGCTACCCTTTATCAAAGGTAAAGGTTTTTATGACATTTTAAAGCATTAATCTAAGCTAAAACCACATAGTATTAGTTTCCTGTCTTCATTTCCCATCATCCCAATTTCCTCCTTTACTTCATGTTACCCTATTGTTTGGTATATTTCTTTAAAGCTTCATATCCTTTGTGGAATAAGATGTGAGACATAAGTAGGAAATATAAAAACCAACTGAGCTAAAACCTAAAGACAAAAATTCTATCAAACTGCACTTTACCAAAATAAAATTTCTTACTGCCTTTCTGTTTGTGGTTCTTTTTAAAAATGAAGACAATAAAAATGAGAAAATAAAAAAATTTAGTCCTTAAGACATAGAAAAATACTTTAATGTAGAAGATGGCTTGGTGATGAAATGTACATATCAGAAGCCACACAGTACACTCTATCAAATTAAATATCACTTTTTAGGACAATACTGGCTTTAGTCTTGGCACAATTTTAAAGTCAATATGATGTATAAGATACCTTATAAAATTGGTTACAATTCTACTCCATTACTGTTGCTTTAAAAACTACGTTACATTTCATTTTAAGTGGAGTTTTTTTTAAAGCTGCTTTTCAAAGATGTCTTCTAAAAAATTATTAACAAGCTATCTGAAAAGATGGAAATGATCATTCAATAGGTACAAAGCAATTACACATCAACAAAAATACAATCTTCATCAATTTGAAGAACTGGAAATAACAATTTTGATAAATACTACAGGAAATAGTTGATCTTATAAATACTGACAAACTTTCGGGTTAGTGTCATCTTGCTTGAAATACTTTCTGTGTTGTCTCTTAGATGTAAAAGTCATGTTTTTGTAAAATCCAGTCCTGTAAGTTTACAGAGGACAAATTATTAATATTTATTCTAATATGACTCTTAAGAGTCCCTCCTTTTAAACAACCCTATTGAAAAAATTAATTTCAAAAGGCCAAATACATGTCCAATGTTTAACAATTTCTTCAACAAATGTAATATGAATACAGTGTTAAATGGCTTTATTATGAACTTCATTGGGAAAAATAAGGTAATTTTATGGATATATCAAAATGTATTACAGTCCAAGATCATATGGAATCAAGTGTTTGTACATCAGAGCTCCCATGGTTTCTACATAATATAAAGTCAGTCAAAATGGAAGTTAAAGCCAATTATATTAGGAAAAAATATCACAAGTTTGCTAGCTTGTTGGATAAACTTGAAAAATCAAAATGATTAAATATTTAATTTTTAAGAAAACGAAACTGCTGTTCTCTTAAGTATACATTTAAATTACCTCCTGTTATCTTTTGTGGAAAATCATACTTGGGAGACATCGCCTGTCTTCTACCCATTCCATGAGATCTTGAAAGCAAGCAGTCTACATACATGTTCCAGAAATCCCGAGTTATGCTTAAGAAGACATTATAATGTCTACGCCGCTGGGATTTTTGCAAGAACAACATGAAATTCCAGAAAGCATCCACATTGTGCTCTATCTTGAGTTTCTTGAGATCTATCAACATCAAAGAGCAAGCGTTCCAGCACTGGTGATCAATGTCTTCTGTGATCCCTGGGCTGATGCTGGCAAGCACTCCCTTTTGAAATTCAAAATCTGCGTTAATCAGATTGATCAGCACCATGCACCACAGTGGTAGGCAAAACCGTCTTCTTGTGGTAAAATCCATATTCTATGCAGGAAAAAAAAATAGAGGGATGTATTTTTAACTTAAAAAGAAGACTATTCAATTACTCAATGATCTCTTTAAATCTGAAAAATTATAAATAATATGTATTCATTTTTGATCCAGCCAAATTTGTCTGCTAGGTATTTGTTTATTTTCCTCTCAGTTGCCAACTCTCAGACCATCCTTTGAAAGGACATTACAAATTTTTTTAACAACATTCTGATAAACAGTCTTCAGGAGTCACTGAAATCCAACACAAATTTATGAAGATGCTATAGATAAACAGGGTCCAGCACAAATAATGCCCCTTTTTATCACAAACTCTTTTATTACAAAATCATAAGCATTTAATTCAGTAACATAACAATATCCCACTCAAGCACACCATATGACATGTTAGGTGAAATGTTCAAATTAAAACTATAAATTATTACACCTGTATTATTACCCTACCAGCCACACTCAGGCAGGCTTCTGTCAGACCCTGTATTTCATCACGCACCTTAGGAGCTGGAAGAAACCTTAAAAAGCATGTGTTCCAACCTTCTTCTTTTACAGATTAGAAAATTCTCAGTGACATGGCTCAGGAAGTTCTCAGTTCTGCCCCCTTCCTAGCCAAGACTCCTACCAGCACACATTCAACTAAGTGAATCAAAATGCACCCCATTATACCTGTAACCATCCGAAAAAGTTTACCCAAGTCGTGCTGGACACTCAAGCACCATTTTAAGTTTCCAAGTTACTGATACTAAAAATTTTTCATTTTTATTCATTGAAAATATTTGTTATGTATAGATGTCCGGCGGACCCCTTGCTTCTCTCAGGTTGTTCAGGAGCTGGATGGAGATTAACAAGAAAGAAGACAATAAAGGTGATATAAACTAATATGACATGTTGCAGGCCAATGATATTCAGCAAACTCTTGGCTTTCTCTAATGGCTCCTTGCAAAAGTTTCCTTGCCAGTTGATCAGTAAATCAGCCTAAAAGCATGTAGGTAGAAGTAAAGGGCTGCCACAGAGCACCTGGCATTGTGTCCCTGACACAAGTTTGACAGCCAGGTGAAAACAGATCTAGAAGACAAGACTCACCTCCTTCCCCATATACTGCCGTCTGCCACCTGCCACCTCCTCCCTTCCCCATAAAATTAGGATGAAGAGACAAATCAAAGGAAGCGAATTTAAATTTAGGTTATGAAGGTCGTTTCACGTCGTCGAAAATTGTGCAGATTACCCAAATTAACCACTTTATGAAGATCTAAAAGGGACGTACTGGTTGGGACGGGAAAGTATTTTTTTTCCCCCCGGTAACTTTCAGGTGACGCTCCCCGACCAGTGCCCTCCTCCCGGGTGTGGTCACCTGGACGCAGAAGAGGGAGCCCGCGCGGCAATAAGCACCTCTCGTCCGCCGCAAAAGCGCGCGTCCAGGCGCGATGTCCGGCGTGGGCTGCACTCACGTGGGGAACGCGGGGTGCTCCTGCCAGGGAGGGACAAGAGGTCTCAGCGCGGGCTTGGGACGACCCCCGATCCTCTAAGCTCTCATCCCTTGTCCAGCCGAACCCACCGCTCGAGCAGGGGAAAAGCGGGAAGCAGCGCTCACCCGGCGCCCTGAGTTCTGGGCAGCTGAACTGTCTGGGCCGCGCCACGCTCCTGGCTGGGAGGCTCTGGGTCTCCAAAAGCCGCGCTGCGGTTCTTCTGCGGCCTCCGGAGAATCCCGACAGAGCCCCACGGGCAGAACCGCGCTCCTTTTCTAGGGACGCAGTGAGGGGGCAGAGCGGGCCGGCGCGCTCTCGAGGCCCCGCCCTCACCTTGTCTACTCCACCAGCCCAGAGACCCGCGGGGCGCTCGTGCCACTGCATCGCCCCCGTTCCCGCCTCTCTTGCCTGTCACCAGGTTTGTTCAAATTACAGAGGCTCAGTGTCTTCTTCTCTCTTCTTTTTCACCTTTTTGTTCCTTTTTCTCCTTGAGATGATCCATTTTGGCAGAGGTCTATACATACCCAAGCTACCCAGCCAACACGCCCTTTTCTAACCAGAGAAAAACTTTGAAAATGTGCTGTTGAGTTGTATGAGTTCTTTACATATTTTGGGTATTATTTTGGGAAGGTATCCTTGTAAATATATACAAACTTTTTGGCCAATGCAATGTAAGTTTCAGGTATACAGTTCTATAACACATCAGTTGTATATCACATTGCATGCTCACCATCCAAGGCCTAGGCTCCTGACACTTCCCGTCTGATAACCACCATACTATTGTGTGTCTATGTTTGTTTGTTTGTTCTGTTAGGTCATTTGTTGCTTTCTGTTTTATATCCCACCATTTGGTTGGTTGTGTTTTTGTTTTGTTGTTGATTTCTTTAATATGATTTCAATGAAAATAATGGCTTGGGAAACATGTTAGCTTAGTTAGGATAGGGTTTGTTTTGGATATGATAAATTAGGTGGATTAGTTAACTCGACCAACTGTTAAATCTAAACTTCTACATGAATTTACCATCTCTATTTTAAAATATATTGTGTGCTTTTGAGTTGAACCACCATATTTTCTTTTTACCACAATGAGATGCCACCTCACACCTGTCAGAATGGCTATCATCAATAAGAAAGGAAATAACAAGCGTGGGTTAGGATGTGGAGTGAAGGGAATCCTTGTATACTGCTGGCAAAAATGTAAATTGGTGCAGCCACTCGAGAAAACAGCATGGAGTTTCCTCAGAAAATTAACCATGGAGTTATATCATCTGACCCAGCAATCTCTCTCCTGGGTGATTAAAAAAAATTGAAAACACTTATTTGTAAAGATACATGTACCCCTATGTTCACTGTAGCATTGTTCACGATAGCCAAGACACGGAAACAAGCTAAGTGTCCTTCGATGGATGAATGGATAAAAATGTGGGACACATACTCAACAGAATGTACTCAGCCTTAAAAAACAATGAAAAATCTCCATCTGCAACAACAGGATGGCTTGAGGATGTCAAGTTAAGTGACATAAGTCTGATGAAAAATGATAAGAACTGTATCATTTCACTCATATGTGGCATATAAAACAGAAAGCAACACATGACCTAACAGAACAAACAAACAAACCTAGACACACACAATAGTATGGTGGTTATCAGAGGGGAAGTGACAGGAGCCTAGGCTCTGGATGGTGAGCATAGAATGCGATATACAACAGATGTGTTATAGAGCTGTATACCTGAAACTTACATTGCATTGGCCAAAAAGTTTGTTTGTTCATTTGTTTCCATAAGATGGGTCTAGTCGCACTTAGTTGTCTTCAACTTTATTTGAAACTATTTTGTTAGGTTGTTTTGTGACAGGTGTCATATCAGTGTGCACTTAAATAAAAATTTACCAAAATTAGTGAATTTTTGTGTAGCCATTTTAATATTGAAGATTTGAATATTGAACATTTTTGGCATATGATGTTTTATTATTTCAAGAAAGGGAAAAATGCATCTGAAACACAAAAAAAGATTTGTGCAGTGTATGGAGAAGGTTCTGTGACTGAGCAAACATGTCACAAGTGGTTTGCAAAGTTTCATGCTGGAGATTTCTCGCTGGCCAATGCTCCATGGTCAGGTAGACCAGTTGAAGTTGACAGCAATCAAATCAAGACATTAATTGAGAATAATCAATGTTATACCATGCGGGAGACAGCCGACATACTCAAAATATCCAAATCAATAAAGTTATTGGTGAAAATGAAAAATGTGTCTTTTATTGTATGGAAAAAACCATGTGGACTTTTTTGGCCAGCCCAATATAATGTTATCAACAAATGTCACCCCAACAAATGTAATTTAAAAAGAAAATATGATTGATACACATACGCAATGGAATGTTATTTAAATCATCTCACCAGAAACAATATATTCTTCACTATCTTATCATGATCATCCTGTTCCCCTCATGTTCCCATTGTCCACAGACTTCATCCCTCAGTTGTACTATAGGGCATTCTCCCTTTCTCTCTGTCACTTTGGGTCCTCATCCCGTTTCAGAGTCTCTTTCACTTAGTAATTTAGCCTCACTTCTGCAAATAGGTGTTCATTTTCACTACATTACTGGGCATCTCTTTCTGTTTGTCATCTACTACTACATGTGTTGTCTTTTTTTCCATGAGAACATGTGATCTTCCCTAAGAGTTATAAAAACACTATATTTATTTCATGTTTTTCTAGTGACTGGCATATAACACAACGAGCACTCCACAAATATTTTTAGCTGATTTCTAGTTCACATTCGTGACATTCTCTCCATTCAGGAAATTTTATCAGCTTTCCACAAGGCATACCCAAGTCTTTCAGGACTCTAGTGTTCCCTGTGAAGATCCTCTGGATTAGTCAGACCACAGGCCTATTCATCTGTCCCCTGCTTCCTGCCTTCCAATCACATAGTCACAGGCCTGTCATACTTGTGTTTATCCCGCTTCTCCTTTACACAGTGTGCTTCTCCAGGAAACGCTGCCATTGTCACACCCCGTAGAACTTAGAAAAGCACTCCACACACAGCAGGAACATGCTCACTGACTAATGCTGAATATCTACAAAAAGAAAAAAAGTTCAATTCATTGGCTTTCTGACTCATTATAATGAAAGACATTAATTTAAAACATCTACCATTGCAGTTGCCTCCAGTAAACCTTAATAACAATGTATTTATCAAAGAGAGATTCAATAACCTTAGGAAGAAAGACAGCAGGAAATGGAGATGAAACAAATAAGTGCCCTGCAGAGAAAACAAGCACTTCTTGACTGCTGACTAATTAAAGAGAAAGAAGGTATTATTTATTTTTTTATTTATTTATTTTATTTTTTCAGGAACACAGGAGGCAATGATGAACAAAATAGCGTCTCTGAGATAGGAGAAAAAGAATAGGTTCAGGAGAGAAGCTGAAAAAAGATCATTGTGGAAAAGGACCATTAGTATGAAATATTTTGTTGTCACTTTTGAAAGAAAAAAATAAGAAATAAAAGTTTATCTTAGGTG